TCGCCAGCAAATGCTTTTTAGTGGTACAAATTATACAAACATGGTCGAGAACGTGCTGACGAYGAGCTACGTTCAGGAGTCAATCAACATCAACTGATGGTCAACACGTCAATAAAATAAGGRAACTGATGATTGATCAGAGATCTTACCGGCATCTTTGCAATATCAGAAAAATCAGTGAAATCCATTTTGAAAGATCATTTCGGCCTAACAAAATAGAAAGCACGATGGTTCCAAGACCACTAAATTTTTTCAAAAAACAGTGTGGGTTAACATGTGTGAAACAATGCTTTGCGACTATCAGCATGTCACGGAACATATAATTACTGGCGATTAGTCCTGAATCTCTGCTTACGACCTGAAAACAGACGACCAATCGGCCGAAAATCGTAACAAAGATTTCCCGAAGCCGAAAAAAACACGTCAAAGCAAGTCAAAAATCAATGTGCACACCGAATTTCTTCTGATTGACCAAACTGTCTGTTTTTTTGTTAATCTTGTCATTTTKAGTCAATTGAAGACATTAAACATGATTAGCTAAGGGCAATAAAAGCCATTCAGGAAATTGACTTTGAGAACTATTTCTAGGATTGGAAAAAATGTTGGCACAAGTGTGTTGGGGCCAAGGGAGACAATATAGATTTTGAAACATAAATCAATAATTTTCATTTTATGAAAAAATCTTACYATTTTTTGTCCATAGTATTAGTAGCTTTTACGCCTACTTTATAATCAGATGAAATCAGCTCACTGGCACGCTCTCTAGACATTTAAATTGAAATTCATTTTAAACAGCTGTCCAAAGGTATCAATACCTGTTTTTGCAACGGTGTGAAAACTAAAAAAACAGGAAAAAAATTTTGCTTCGGCTGCACCCAAACTATAGTATCCATCAAGGTACRTTTTTTATAACATAACATATCTTTGTTCTCATTTACATCGGTCAGTTGTCTGATCTGTATAATATGTTCGAAGTTTGTGGTAAAGCTTTGAATGATAATGTAGATAAAATTTCGTGAAAATTCTTTGTCAAATACAAGTTTTTCACATTAAAACTTGAGTTTGATCGGTCATTGGTCTGACTATGGATGTGAAAACTGTCCGAAGATCCCATTCAGGTCTTAAATCGGCTTTATGCCCATGATAATATATCGTTGCAARGACAAGAAATGGAATGAATGAATCCCATACCAAAAACAGAAAATTAGTCCTGTTAGCGTCAGTCAATTAATKGTAGGTATTTGTAGCAATTTGAAATGGTAAATACTATATAGAATGTATACCCTGCTTCAAGATAAACAATACTCTATTTTATTGTGGTGTTCAACTTTTATTAKGAATAAATAGTTTAAACAGCCCTGAAAATAATAATGAGTTCACAATGGACGAGGAATTATATTTACGAAAAACTTCCTGCATTACWAAACTTTTCTTATATAAAAGGCATGCTGGAGGTTGAAGACTCCGAAATTTACTTAGTTTTATTGATTATTTTTACTCTACTTTAGATCCATAAACCGTTGTCAACATTAGCAACAAAGACCCTGATTATCATGTCAATTTCTTCCTCACAGTGACAATGACCCTTTTCAGTACGAGCCTTTAATGGCTTTCTATTGCTTTTTACAACTTTTATTGTAAATTTTATGATGCCATCAGTTTCAGTGAAACTTTTCATGGAATCGAGCAAAAAATATAAGCTTTTGTAACGCTAAGCTTACTAACCTTTGTTACATAAATATTTAGGCGAAATTTATGCTCACAGCAATGTACATTCTTGCCGAGAATCATATGCGGGGCTCGTTTATAGTATTCTTCTTCTTCTTGATTGGCGTAAACACCGCTTACGCGATTATAGCCGAGTTAACAACAGCGCGCCAGTCG